CCCACCCCCCAACTTAACTTTTTTATTGCAGATTCGTGGTCCTCTAGGGTAGCGCAGCACAACCCCGCCTTCAAAAAAAAAATAAAAAAATTCCTTGCTGTGTTTTTGTGTCGCCCGGTTTCGCCAGGCGGACCCCCCCGGGCCCAACCGGCCGGGGCCCGCCCGGCCGGGCATGCCTGGCTGGGCGGCGGCCCAGCCTAGATGTTATGCAAAAAAATTAACTGAACAACTTTTGCCTCAGGGTCACATCAAAATTCTTTACCAAATATAAAATATATATATTGTGACGATATATATATATATATCGTCACATATATATATATATATATATATTTTGTCTTTTTGGCCCGGTCGGGCAAGTGACCCCGGGCCACTCTGGTAGCCTAGATATAATAAATCCTATAAATCCTATAAATCTCCATACTGTGGAACATAAACAATCCCTTTGGAAGTTTGTGGAGTCTAATTTTTTTTGGGGGGTGATGTTCTCCGTGCTTGGCGTGTGGAGCAGAAACAGCATGCGAACCCAGCAGGAAAGGAGAATAAAAATGCGGCCTGTGTTGACAAGATCCAGCAGGATACCGTGGGGGACAGCAACCAGGTGGAGGTGGTGTCATCGAGAAAGGCGCGAGAGACGAAATTGGCGGAGCTGAGCGGGACAAACATTTTCTCAGAGCCGACTGCTGCCGCAACTGCCAGTCCCGATTCACGGAACGGGTTTGTTGCCCCTCAGCCAATCAGTGATGCGAAGCGGAGAGAGATGATCGGAAATGACATCTTCGCCAACCATAAACCTGTTTGTCGCGACTGTGTCGGAGGCGTTCGAAAGCCTCCTGGAGGTGAAAGCAGCCTTTCACTGTTCTGATCCCATTTTTACCGCAGTTAAAAGGTTCGGTAAAAGCCATTTTTTGATTTTTCGCCGCTTGCTGTCTTTAGGCGTTCGGTGGTTAAGGAAAGTAATTCAAGAAATAGTCAGAGGAGTCAGAAGACTCAGAAAAGAGGAGTGTAAAGAGACGGGGAATGGATGGAAAAGCTAATGCGTATACGTCGTATACTATCATCGAATGCATCTTACGGACTCTTATGGACTCATAGGGACTCATACGGACTCTAAAAACATGTGTATAGTATGCTTTCATTTTGTTCATGGGCGCCCTTTGCGAGGAGAGGCAGACGGTAACACCCAACCTGCAGCTGCAGTCAAGCCGTACCAAGGGCGACCATTGGTTAAAGAAGAGAAGGTAAGGAGGGGATTCTACGGAGTGTTAGGGAGTTGGCCTCACGGTTCCGGACAAGAGAAGAAAAGAAACGAGGTACACAGAACTGCGTTGGAATTGCCGATCCTTAGTACGAGTGGAAATTTGGGGCATCCTCAAACTAGGACTCGTTCGGCCGAATCTGGTTGTGAAGGCAGTCAGGTACGTTCAGGGCAGTCCCAGTCTGCCCATGCCCTTTAGACTATATGTTCTATTTATACGTAGGTGCTCGTCAGTTAGTTAATCGCCGGGGTATGACAAGCATCATCTTTTGGCCACATTTTCATCCAACCATCAGTACTGGTACCAGGCAGGTTCATTCTGCCCCCATCAGGTCCAGGAGCAGAGGTCAGCATTTTTTAACCCCCTCCCCCTCCCCCCCCCCCCCCCCCCCCCCCCCCCCCCCCCCCCCCCCCCCCCCTCTCTACACGTCAGCAATTTTCCTCTTTCATCAGCTGACACATGTATAGATCCAATGATACGATTGCTCTGGTACGTCGATAAGATTTTATGGCCGCCGACAACCTGTGGTCGCAAATGCATTGGTGATTTAGTGCCTGTGGCCGGTAGGCCCGGTACGCCCATTTTGCATTGGTCCCGTTTTTTTTTCACCCTGACAACGAGTCAGCAACAGTTTCAAGACCATTCACTAAAAAAATGTCCCATGATGGTTTGTGAAATTCCCAGGACCCTTTTCTACAAGTTTTCGGGACCCCACTTATACAAGTCCCAGGACCATCTATACGAGTCCCATAACCTTTTACAGCATTCCCAGGACCACCATTATTGTGGAGAGTGCAGGACCATTTCTGCGAGAGAGTCCCGGAACCATTTGTACGTGTCCCAGGACCAATCTTTGAGTCCCAGGACCATTATGAGGTTCTCAAGTCAATTTATGAGAGAGCAGGACCAATCTTTGAGTCCCAGGACCATTATGAGGTTCTCAAGGCAATTTATGAGAGAGTCCAGGACCATTTGTACCAGTTCCAGGACCGCCTTATGTGAGATTATGAGAGTCCGGTGTGGGATCATCATTAGTCATGGTCCGATAAATACAAGTGGTGCGCTCAAGTGGCCCTGTGCCATCACAGTCTTAGTGTTCCCGGAGGCTCTGGCGGAGGTCGTTGTAGACCATCTCTGACTTACCTGGACCATCTGCTACTGACCTGGACCATGAGTGACAGACCTGCCTGGACCATCTGCGACCAGCCGCTGCACAATCTGCGGCCAACCTGACCATGTGCAACCACCCTGGACCGTGTGCAATGAACCTGGACATTGTGCAACCATCCTGGACCATGTGCAACTAACCGGGGATCGCTCGCCGGAGACTACCATCTGTGACTGACCTGGACCATGCATCACTAACCATGAACCGCGAGTGACTAGCCTGGTCTATCTGCAGCTGATCTGGAACATACATCTTTAATTAACCATTCCCTGTGACGAATATACAGAGCTGTGACGGTGAATCACTTTGGAGGGCTCAGACAATCAGTCCTACACAGTTGGATAAGTGTAAAGGGGAGACATAAGTAGACCAGCACCAGGACCAGGACCAGCACCAGCATCAGGACCAGCACCAGCACCAGCACCAGCACCAGCACCAGGACCAGCATCAGGACCAGCATCAGGACCAGGACCAGGACCAGGACCAGCATCAGGACCAGCACCAGGACCAGCATCAGTACCAGGACCAGCACCAGGACCAGCACCAGGACCAGCACCAGGACCAGCAACAGTGTGGATGCTCCGAGGACTGGAGAGACAATTAGACCAAAAGCCTAAGGGTTAGAACAACAGAGAACCAACTTCAACCAAGAAAGACATGAGCCAGGAGTGTCGGTGCTATGGGTATCGAACTGGTGGTGGTAGACCTGGTGTTGGTACTGATAGTGATTACTCTTTTTGTGAGTTTCCGTGTCACTCGAACAATACTGCAGTAGAGTCTTATCGCAGATTTTGCTGCCGGGAGGCTGGCATCACTACTACTGTCGAGTACTCACCAATACAAAGCTAACGCTGCTGCTAAGCTGGCAAGACATACAGACTTCCATCTGCAGGGTTGCTCAAACTGATAACACTATGAGTGGCGGTAGTGGGCGTCTGGGTAAAAGCTTTGACAGCCATGGGGAGGCTAGGTATCAATGTCAATATCAATATCAATAGCAGAACTAGCTCTCATGATGCGCAATGGGGGTTGAAGGGGTTCCTTCTGAAGTTAATCAATTGTTAGTTACATGGTGATCAATTGTGGCGTGGCTCTCAAGGAGTTGACAACAACACAAAAATATATAGATGGTTCATTGTTGCTAGCAGTGCCAAGCACCATTGTGAGAGAGAAAGAAATATGATCACAGTTCTGTGGCCTTACATAACTGTTCTCCCCTCTGATAATTGTTGAAGCCATGTGCAGAAGCAAGGACAGTCATTGGGGTGTTTTTGCCTGTTCACGTCAGTACACGTTTTCGTGTTTGGCTTGTGTTGTCATGTTTGCTATACACAACTCCAGAAAAAACGCATGACTGTACCAGCCTCTTTCATTGGATTTTCACGGACTCGTCAGGAGGTCGAACCCTGACAGTCTGCCAGGATGTATTTGACTGATGGAGTAGGACTCTCGATGTCCCCCAGAGTTTTGTGATACCACTAAGAGAGAAAAGTGGTAGACTGTACTCACACCAACCCTGCAATCCTAGCAGACTGTTGATCCAAGCCCCTGACAAGTGTATGTGTGTGCTGATGTGTGTGTGTGTGTGTGTGTGTGTGTGTGTGTGTGTGTGTGTGTGTGTGTGTGTGTGTGTGTGCGTGTGTAGGTGTGGATGTGCGTGTATGCATGTGCTGTGTGCGCATGTGTGTGTAGGTGTGGATGCGCGTGTATGCGTGTGCTGCACACACACACACACACACACACACACACACACACACACACACACCACACACACAGAGAGAGAGAGAGAGAGAGAGAGAGAG